TATTTGAAAAATAATGTGTTTTTTGAACATTAAAGCATGTCAACATATTCTGTTACACCAAATACACAAAATAATGATCTTTAAAAAAGCATCATATGACCCCTTTAAGGCACCCTGATTGAGAAACTGCTTTATGACAGTGACAGAACAGAACCTGAATCAAATATTCTGCATATAGCTTAAAAAAAAAAAAAGAGGTAAACAGAAGAAAAATTACCCTATGCACATAATCATTTTCAGCATGAATCTTTATCTGTTACAATAATGTAATAACTCCATGATAACCCCAGTCAAAGCACTCTGTCCTATCAGGCATGGATATTTATAAGAAAAATGCTCTTGTTGTACAACTTTTATTTATTTATTTTTATTTATTTATTTAATTTGGTAAGAAGTAGAGCACAATAAATGCACAATAAATAAATTAGCAGCCTGTCTCATTATTTTTTTTACCAGCCATTAAGTAATCTACACAAAGCAAAATGAATTGAAAAAATAAAATGAATTGTTCCGATAAAATGCCTCCAAAGCTGAACTTTGTGATTGACTGATTATCTCCCTAAACGTAGCCATAGATTAACGTAAACATTTTTAAATGGGGTGTGGAATATACATTACATTGAATTATATTATTATATTTAGTATAGAGATGTATGTCATACCTCAGTGCTGGGTTCAAAATCCGGATGAGTGAAGGGTCCAACTCTCTCTAAGAACTTTTTGACATGGTCCCATCTTCCCTGCCAGTCTGTGTGATCCCCACTCCCTCCATCCACAACCATACTGTGGAGAAATACAGATATTTAGAAATACAGCACACTCACTACTCAGTTTATTTAGCAATTACAAAACACATTCACATATGTGACCCTGGACCACAAAGCCAGTCATAAGTCGCACGAGTATATTTGTAGCAATAGCCAACAATACATTGTATGGGTCAAAATTATTGATTTTTCTTTTATGCCAAAAATCATGAGGATATTAAGTAAAGATCATGTTCCAAGAAGTTATTTTGTAAATTTCCTACAATATATATAGCAAAACTAAATTTTTGATTAGTAATATGCATTTGCATGGACTTAATTTGGACAACTTTAAAGGCAATTTTCTCAATATTTAGATTTTTTTTTTTTTTTTTTTTTTCACCCTCAGATTCCAGATTTTCAAATAGTTGTATCTCGGCCAAATATTGTCCTAACAAACCATACATCAATGGAAAGCTTATTTATCCAGCTTTCAGATGATGTATTAATGATTAATTAATGATTATGACTGGTTTTGTGGTCCAGGGACACATAGAACATAATATACAATATTTTTTTATGTACAATAATAATTAAGGTATGGCTTGAATGGCACTGAATTTTGGTAAATTTCATAATTAATAATAAGAAAGTGTTTTATCTTAAATGTTATGAAAGAACATTAAGGCATGTGTGCAAACAGCAGTGTTTGGAGGTTTCGCAAGCTTTCACCGCGCTTTCAGATAGATTACATTGTATTTCATGTACAGTGGGCCTATATGCGGAGAGCTGTTTAAAATAATGCCTGAACAATATCTGCAGTACGGATGAAGCTCATTATAAGAATCAACACCTCCCAAAGCAAACCTGCTGGCTGCCACATCTAAATTCTTATCTTTCATTTCACTAACTTCTCATTCAGCTCCTCTATTCTCCTTCTTTTCTTCTCCCTAAAAAGAGAGAGTAAAAGAAGGTTCATTCGTGCTCTGCTATCCGCAAGTTAACGTTCTTGCGTCCTGTTGATTGAACTAAAGCACTGTTACGAGGGATTTATGTGCAGTTTTGTATAAAATTTCACTTACGGCTCCTCTCCTTCCGCCATATTGTCATAAACATTCGAAATGAAACGTGCAACCTTATGACAAGGCAAATCTGCAATCCACCTGACGCACAATGTCGTTTTCAAAATAAAAGTCCTGAAAATAGTCTGGAATTCTTCATAATCCAGTAAAAAAACACATTTTAATAAACAAAATTACAGCACAAAATGAGCCAGTTCGTGAAATTAGTAGTTTGAAAAGACGACTTACTGGTTTGAAACAAGTCTGATGAATCATTCACTGAACTAAACCCAACAGAGCGCAGCGATAATTGAATCACCATCTGCCTCACTGCACTGTGAACTACGTTGTCATTATTTTTAGTGATGTCCGTATACCAACTGTCCCGTATAATAAGGGATCAGTGTTGCGTTTAGGGGCGTCATGCACTCATTATTTCTGAGGGGGCACGAGATGGGGGGGTCGTCATGTGACACACAGCAGCCACAACATGTTTTTTTTTGTTTTTTTCGAAACATCCCCAAACGCATTAACTATATCATGAAATATCTTGATTCTCACCTTATAGATTATGTTGATCTATAGTAGGTCAAAATAACCTAATAATGTCATCTATTAACTAAGCATAAACACCTGTCTGTTTACTTAACAGATAAAGATGTCATGCCATAACATATTTCAATACGACTGAGTTTATATTTAATGTGAATTTAACATTGAAAGTTAATGTGAATAAAAACATTGCAAGTCAGGCTACTAATCATACCACTTTCATTGTACAGAAAGAGAGCAAAGAACATTTACATTATCAAAGAACATTTTCACTGACAGTCTAGTTCAAGCACTCTCAAAAACTACCATTAAAATCACAGAAGCTGTTTACACTGTGAAATGAGTATCTTACTTACAAATTCGTACACACGTCTGCACTTTGTTGTTTCTGACGAGAGAATTCGCCAGAAAGAGGTTTTCGATCAGCGAGCGAGTGAAGAAAACACGGCATTTAGCGATGACTCATCTGAACACCTCTGATTGGTCATTGCATTCATAAGCTCAACAGCATCGCGTGTGATTGGTTAATGCGCAGTGCTGTAAAAACGCGTCTGTATCTGGCTCAGCGCCAGCCAGCTAAAGCAGATTTGAATTTAGCAGCTGATGATATGACGCACTGAACGTTATAATCACACCGGTGTGATTGTATTAAATATAGAAAATATTATTTGCCTATTTTTTGTCTTTTGGAAGCTGCATTCAAAATCCACTTGGTTCAAAAATCTGAGGGGGCATGCACGTGCCCCCTTACTTTGAATGGGCATGACGCCTCTGGTTGAGTTGCATTATCTTTTCATCCCCAGAGAACTTATTGTATTTCAGGCGGATGAAATGTGAACTGTTGTATTTTCATTTTTATTCAAATTAATTTTATTACTTTCAAAAACTATTAAAAACACTTAAAATTAAGGTGAGCCTCTTTTGGACTGTGGGGACAGGCGCAATTAGTGTTATAATTTGCGTAGGCTTAAGATATGTGTACTATGGAGGACGAAACCTATGGAGCTCGCTGGGGATGCGGCTTTCCCGCTGACAGGAAATGCATGGTGTTTAGCCAGTATAGCCTAGTAAAGTCACTTTTGCCATTCAACAGAGCAAGATACATAGAAAACTGAGCCTTATTGTCCGTACAGTATCTGTGACTTTACAAACCACCCAACGGAATGGCCAGAGGTGTCATTTCCCAGCATTCGATATTCGCTACGGAAATGCTAAACTCATCCTAACTGTTTTCTTTTAATCACTCATTTATTTCTGAATGTAGTTCCGCATTTATTTTTCCCCTGCACAACATGCTAATGAGAGGGTGTCATTCGACATTGGTTTATACTTTTCTAACTTCAATAGCATTTGAGGAAAATTACTTACAGTAACACAACCAACGGTGAAGTGTTCATGTAGTTCTCAGTTATAATGCACACCCTTTAGATTTTTGATATTTATTAAAATAAACTCTCAAATCATATAAATATGTTGTTTATTTCACTACCGAATGGGCTTATTGTATTCATTTTTTGGTCCTTTCTTGAGTAATGCATTTTAAAACAATAGAAACTATACTGTTATACTGTAAAGTTTACTGTAATTGGTTTGCTTCACTTTTCAGTTACTGTAAAACTATATGCACAAATTGTAAAATTAGCAGTTCCATTAAAACAATAATAAAAAAAAAACAATGACAACTGTGTAACTTCATGCTCCACCCAAACCTGAAACTTTACATTAAAGAACTATAATACATTAGACTATTTACAGAATTTAAAACTATTTACATAGGCAGCACTTCCAGTCAACCTTTTGAGCCCTCTTGAACTGGCTGTCTGTCATTGGAAGGCACATGAAACCACCTCCTGCATTGATGGCATTCGATCTGAAAAAAGAAAGAAAGATAATAATCTAATCAAATTGCTTAGTAATCAATTATTCATTTCAACTCAGTTCAATTCATATTGCTTTATTAGCATGACGTCCTGAAAATAACAGTAGAATACTGGCAGCTGTGGTTGCACTAATTTATTTTATTTATTTGCCTACTTTAATCACATGTTTAATTATTTATATATGTATTTAAACAAGAATTTGTGTATTTATACAGACATTTATTTATTTATATGCATATTTATTTATTTATTTGTGTATTTATTTATTTATTGTTTTTGCAGGTTTCGTCCTCCATAGTGTACAGCCTACTAATAGTGTGACACTTCATATGACTTTTTTTAACAACTGACATGTATGTTAATGAGTATAAATAAATAAATAAATAAATAAAAATAAAAGATGGTAAAGTGATGTCTCAGATTCATTTTAGCATTTAATTAAATGCACTTCTTTCTAATAAAAAAAATACACAACTGTAGACATGCACACGATCGTGTGATGAAAAGAAATTCTGCGTGTTTATAAAACGGCAAGATGTTCCTCTGCTGAAGTTGATTATAAGAAAATTACGTTATAAGATGCTTATCGAATGTCACCATGAGTACTGAAATATTATTTGTACTATTACCAGGTAAAATAAATAAGTAACAACATTAGCTTACATTACTTCAAATGTAAAATGGAAGTTCATTGCCCTACACATTGTTGTTGTTTTTTCTTTGCTGTTATGTTACATCCCAAATTTTATTCATGTGTTTGGTGCGTGAAAAAAAAAAGCCATTAACTTTTCCTGGAATGATAATGATGTCTGTTAAAATGTCTTTCATGTCAGTTAAAGTCTGATTACAAGCGCATACTGCCAGGGTAGCCTATCTATGACGGTTTCTGACAGATTTCTAACTGAAATCTAGTTCCTTTATAAGCTAAATTACAAATAAAATTGTCATTGTCAACAACTTTCTAAAATAATCTTTATAAACAGTATTTAAAAAATGCAATAATTGCAGACTTTGTTTCTAAATAAATTGCTTTCTGAGGAAATTACACCTTTGGAGACACAGTATTACAGTCAGAATACAGTATTATTTACGTGTACTTCTTTTGATATTTTATTTTTTCATTGTTCTGGTGATGGTAGCTGGTGATGAAGCCCCATTCTTAGAAGCACAGAAAGATAAAGAAACATTTTGTTTACTAAAATGAGAAGTATTTTCAAATATTTAAAAAAAAAATGTACTCAAAATAGTCCTTGGTTATTTGCACACCTACTATGACATATGACCAAAATAAAAGCACCCATGATTCTGCCAGTGGGCAATATTTGCAAATTTTGGCTAAATCACTTGTGACTTTGCAAAAACGAACCCCCCTGAAATGCACCAACATCCCCCCAAGTGTCCTCACACCTGAAAGGGGTATTTTTGCAAGTACAGCAGCAGCGGCCGTGGCAGTGGCAGCTGTGTATGGCAATCTGTATGTCTGATTATATTGAGGCGTGTGAGGTGTTGTAATGTTGGAAAGGCCTGAGGCCTGTACAGGGGCTTCCTGAGCTTCAGCAAGATGCCATTGTCCTTTGACACCATGTGATGTTCTTCTGCTATCCTCTCCTCCCCTTGACTTGTGGATGTATAGTGCTGCACGAGACTAGGAAGAGCAGAAAAGGACAACAGGCTAGATCGGGCTGGAAAACTGGAATCGAGACGGAATCGGCCGCTGTCGTATTCGATGCGGACATTAGTGGGACCTCTCCACGTCTGTACGGACAGGGTGAAGAGGTAGAGTGGATGGCTGCTGTCACGGACAAGGAAAGTCCCTTCTGATGCTCCAATTAGGGCATCCCTTGCCTCACTGGCTGTCATACCACCCCAGTACCATCCTAAAACATAAAGAAACTATGTTAATATGACATACACTATCATCTGAGATCAGTATGATTTTTGTTTCTTTTAAAATAATACCTAATTCAACAAGGGCACATTAAATTAAAAAAAACATATATGTAACAAAAATATGAAGCAGCACAACTATAACTCGGAACTATACTCTCATTCCGGCGTAATAATCAAGGAACTTTGCTGCCGTATAGGTGCAGCAGGCGCAATTATATTACGCATGCCTGAAAATAGTCCCCAGCACGCTCCCTGTGCAAGCAGGTGGTCACGTTGGTTATGCTGATGGAAGTTAGCCTATTTTCAGGCACTGCGTAATATCATTGTGCCTGCTGCACCTATACGGCAGCAAAGTTCCTTGATTATTACGCTGGAATGAGAGTATAGTTCCGAGCCATATCGGCCTAGAAAATAGCAACTTTTCATTTTCCGTCGGTCTTAGTACACGATGTAACTACAGAAGAGTTAAGTTTTAAATAGGAAAAATATCGAAACTCTTTGGTCATTTTTGAGAGAGATGCTAACGGTCTAATCAGATTCAATGATCTATGCTAAGCTGCAGCTAAAAGTACTACCGCCAGACCCGGAGATTGGCTGAATGGATTCGAAAACGGTAAAACTCAACTGTTTAACTCTAGGGGAGTTGGAAAATGAGCCTATTTTCAAAAATAGTGGAGTGTTCCTTTAAGTCGGGTATATTTGTAACAATAGCCAAAAAAACATTGTATGGGTCAAAATTATAGATTTTTCTTTTATGCCAAAAATCATTAGGATATTAAGTAAAGATCATGTTCCATGAAGATATTTTGTACATTTCTTACCGTAAATATATCAAAACTTAATTTTTGATTAGTAATATGCATGGCTAAGAGCTTCATTTGGACAACTTTAAAGGCGAGTTTCTCGATATTGTGATTTTTTTTGCAACCTCAGATTCCAGATTTTCAAATAGTTGTGTCTTGACCAAATATTGTCCTATCCTAACAAACCATACATCAGTGGAAAGATTATTTATTCAGCTTTCAGGTGATGTATAAATCTCAATTTTAAAAAATTGACCCTTATGACTGGTTTTGTGGTCCAGGGTCACATATTAGAAAGATTTCTGAAGGATCATGTGACACTGAAGACTGGAGAAATGGCTGCTGAAAATGTATCTTTGCCATTACAGGAATTTTAAAAATAATTAAATAGAAAACAATTATTTTAAATTGTACAAATATTTCACAATATAATTGCTTTTACTGTTTTTAGATCAAATAACACCGCAGCACTGGTAAGTAGAGACTTCTTTCCAAAACCAAACAAAAAACTAACTAAACCCAAACTTTTGAAGGGTATTTTACATTAGGATTATTCTAAGAACTAATAATAATAATAATAATAATAATGTTAATTTAGAAAACAATCATAATTAAATTATAAATAATAATGATTTATTTAATAATTAAAAAATAATAATTACATTTTTTGTTTTATGTATTAATTTAAGTTATCAGCACAGAAATAAACTGTTGCTGTAGTCACTTTAGGACCCTGGTCAAAATCTATTCTTCATAAAACATAAAATACATAAATATAAAAAGATGACTTGAGACTCTGTATATGACTTGTTTATAGAATCCAGAATTAGACATAATCTTCAGTGATTGTTCAAATGAAGAGGGAGTCATTGACTTCCATTGACTTTTTGTTTTTAATTAAACACGTTTGTTCGGAATCTGATTAGGTTTTTATTGGTCAGTTATAATGGAAGGAATCTGACCTGATAGTTGCTGACACTGGACAGATGCAATCAAGAAATATGAAGCATAAGAAAGAAGTGCACATCAGTTCCTCAAATACTTAAATACTAACTAATATAGGCTACCTGAGGTATGTAGGTGCTGAAAGGTGGTGGTGATGAAACGCAAGTCCTCAGCCGGGGCCCATGAGTAGGGAGCGGCTTGGGACCGCTGAATTTGCTGAACCTCTGATTCATCCCTCTCATTTTGGGCACTTGTATGGCTAGCGACCATTCCTGAAGGTGGCTCTGGCATGAGAGCCTTCTTATGAAAGAAAAAAACAAATTTCTTGAGAATAATTACTGTGTAATCAACAGATTTGTTTTTCTAAACCTATAAAATGATGTGAGGTGAGACAGCGGAGAAAACAGTCCAAAGGTTAAAAATCGCTGTGCTTTCTATATCATTGCTTTGTCATTTATAATTTCAGTGAACTCAAAGAAAGAACAAACAAAGGAAGTGCAGTTTGCCGAGAACAAGAGAATGCACTCACATGCTATTTACACAACGTGGCAAGAATTTAAGTTGGAAAGCAACAGGGTAAACAACAGATTTTACAAGACAACAAGTTACAAATATGTCATATCTAAAACAGTATAAATAAGATCCATATTCTATTGGAATGCTGGTGTTTTTATACCAGTCTCAACTTCTGCCTCAGTAAGTCAGAATCTATATGTTCTTTCTCACATTGTGAAACAATTATCATGAAGGTTAAGTTACCATACTTAAAAAACTAATTTCTGAAATGTCCTGGAAAGGTGAAATATAGAACAAAATATTGAGTTGCCTTCTTTTACAGACACTAATCTGCATACTGTATTTGATTTTTAAAGATTTTATTCAAGTTGTATTCAAACAAACTGCAAAGTATGATCACAGACATGTTATTAATTCTATAAAATAAAAAAGGCTTGAAATGGAGCTGAACTACAATTGACATTTTCCAGTATTGAAACTGAAATAAAATAAAAACTGTATAAAAAGAATAAGTTAAATTAAATTCAATTACACCTGAATTCTGGACATGTACTCAACAGCTACATGTCAGGGAAATAAGCAAATGTTGGTTGTAAAACTATAGCAATATAGGCTACATTAAACGTTTTCATAATTGCTCAGTAGCTTGGTCACAAAACTTTTAGTTTGTTTCGCTCGCTATTGCACAATGCAACATTAAAAATCGCTTAGATGAGAACAAAATGTTGAATTTCGAAACGTCAGCAGCAGGAATCGGGAATGGATTACGATCAATTATAAAAGGACGACGTAGCCTACATGACATATACGTGATGTAACCACTGCAGTTCATCACAAATTAGTCAAGTCAAGAGCAAACCCACCAAACAGGTATGAGCGCTTCACAGTTCCCATGAAACTAAAATGACTTTCGATATAAAACACATATATTTCTTACCTTTCTAGGCATAAAATCGTCACCTTCTGTACGTCACCAATGGGCAGCAGTTTGGAAAGACTGAAATTTACGCGAATCCTGCAAAGTGCCAAAGCTGCTGACATTGTTCCAGCAGTGCTATAATGGCGACAAAAAGTCCACAAAGTGAGCGAATCTAGTCAACATCTAAACATTTTACAACAGTAATCTCTGATGCTGTCTAAACCGAACGAGCCTTCTCTGTCAAATATTCTCTAGGAAATCGAAGGGAGCAAAATGAGGACGAAAATTACGCAAAACAACAACAAAAAAGCTAAGTAGTAGTACTCAAACAAGAGTAATATGTCGTTTGGCTTGGTGGATTGTTATTTTCCTGTACTAAGAGCAGTAAGAAACGCCATTGCAGCACGTTTGGCTGTTTTATGAGTTGACGCGCGTTCTAGGAATTTCATTCCAAGAAGAGCGCTACATCTTTGCGCCCGCGACCTCATCATCGGCCGCTTGGCGTTTCGTAGAACTGCGCTCTCGACCATCGCTGCGTTTCCATTGGCTGCCGTGCGCCGCTGACGAAGCGCCCGTGCCGGTTTCAGAGGCGGATGACTTTCCCAGTAAAGAGCTTTCCAGGAATGCTGAAACAGTCGCTGAAATTGACCTCTGCGCCAGCTGCATTAACTGAGAGATTTCTATGCGACAGCGAGGGCTGTGATGGGAGGTGACTGCAAGGTAAGCGTAGTGCTGAGTAAGTCTAATTCCAGAAAATGTTTATTGCCAGAATGTTAGTTATATGGTTAATTACATCCCAACATCCTGGTAACTGATAGAGCTGGCCCTGGATCAGCACATGCATTAACCCTTTAAGAGACAAACCCAGAAAAACAAACAATGGAATAACTGTTTATAATAAATATAAAAAATTATATAAAAATGCAATAATATATTTTTTTTACATTTATGTTTTTAAAAACCTAACGACAAACAACTAAAGAGTATCCATTTGATATTAATTAAAATATAACTTCATTACTAGTAAGAAAGTATTATTGGATAATAATCACATACTAGTATTAAATTCAGTTGATATATATATATATATATATATATATATATATATATGACACTACTGTGCAAAAGTCTTGGGCCATTAATTAAGCGTTAGCGTTAGTTCTGGCAGGTCACGTGAGTCAAGCTTGCATCAGCTGATTCTCAGCTGATCACATCTACCTATAGGAATACGACACCGATCGCGGCATTCTTATATAAGCTCTATTCAGTATTATTCAGCAGCTTTTCAGCTTGCTCCGGAGCAAATTACCCTCCTCCATCCCCAGCTCCTCCTTTCGCCACAGTCAGGACTTGGCTTTCTGATATTCCTTGCTAATCAGACTCCTTTATCTTGAATAAAGTGTTACACTTAAATATCATTAAGTACATTAATGATATCTGCCTTGTTCTGTTCTGTTATGTTAACCCTGGGGGGTTATTATTGCTGCTCTCCCTGCTCATTCATGACAGGCTGCATGGATGGGCAGGGAGTTTTTTGCCCAGAACAGAACCATACCACCAAACCAAACTTTATGCTAAGTATCTATCATTTTGACAATAGTGGTCCTGACAGAAGTGTCTTTATTTTTTTAATTTATTTTTTTGGTGAAAATACTAATGGCCTAAGACTTTAGGCCATACACAGTACTGTGTATATAGAGGCCTGTTAAAGTGTTAACTAAACATAATGCTTCTCCATGGTTAGGCAAAAAGGACATTTATCAAGACGGATTCATGGATTTTATTTTATCTTTAACATAAAAATCATCATCTAAACAACACATTTATGTGGCCTTCAAAACCATGTGAGAATGTGTTTCAGAGTGAAAGAAGACTAGTTAAAATCGAACATAAAAAATAATAACCATGAAAAGGATAGCTAAGACAAGAAATAGGCTACAGGCTATTGAGGGTGAAATTAAACAAGTGTATCAGATGTCATTTTACATGTTCTGACTGTATGATTCTAGCTCTCATCTCCATTCTCTCCCGCTCCTCTGATTAGACGCTTGTTCCCTCGTTTCTCTGTTGGGCCCTTTGGCTTGGTGAAGGCTTGTTTCAGAGCATGCTGCTTCGGGTAAACCTCTTCATACAGGAAATCCTCTGTCAGGCACTCTCCACTATCAATCTCCATCTACACACATGACACATGAACAGATTTACCGAAATGTGGATAAATATGAGTATTTGATTTAAAGCGAATGTCAAAATGTTATGGATTATGAAGTTATTATTCAAAGGTCTGAGTTTCAAAAGTTTCGATTTGTTTTTAAATATATTGAAATTTTACCTAGCAATGATGGACTAAATTGATCAAAAGTGACAGTAAAGATATTAATAATAATGTTACAAAATGTCAAATAAATGCTGCTTTTTTAAACTTTCTATTCATCAAAGAATCCTGAAAAAATAAACGTTTCACAACAAACGTTTCCACAAAAAAAAAAAAGCACCACCACTGTTTTTAACACTGATAGCCTAGTAATAAGAAATGTTTCTTGAGCACCAAATCAGCATATTAGAATGATTTCTGAAGGAAGATGTGATGTGAAAATTCAGCTTGCCATCACAGGAATAAATTACATTTTAAAATATGTGACCCTGGACCACAAAACCAGTCATAAGGGTCAATTTTTCGAAATTGAGATTTATATATCATCTGAAAGCTGAATAAATAAGTTTTCCATTGATGTATGGTTTGTTAGGATAGAGCAATATTTGGTCGAGATACAACTATTTGAAAATCTGGAAGCTGAGGGTGCAAAAAAAAATCTAAATATTGAGAAAATCGCCTTTAAAGTTGTCCAAATGAAGTTCTTAGCAATGCATATTACTAATCAAAAATTTTGTTTTAATATATTTACGGTAGGAAATTTACAAAATATCTTCATGGAACATGATCTTTACTTAATATCTTAATAATTATTTTTGGCATAAAAGAAAAATTGCTAATTTTGACCCATACAATGTATTTTTGGTAAAAATATACTCAAGCGACTTAAGACTGGTTTTGTGGTCCAGGGTCACATATATTTAAGTAGAAACAAAGTTATATGAAATGATAATAATATTTATTTATGTATGCTCAAATAAATGCAGGAACTTGTTATATTGTAAGTTAGTTAACTTCAAAGAACTGTGTTAAGTAAAACTACTTTATTTGTAAAACTATTAAACTATTAGTAAAACTATTTTACTTGTTAGTTCAATATATAGCTTATTTTATGTAGTGATTGTCAGCAAAATATGTACTTTGTACTTTGGAGGTCTACATGAAATTGTAAGGAGTAAAATTTTTTTTTTTTTTTCCATTCGCAAGTATCTGACATTCTTGTACCCTTCTACTCAGGTCGAAGCTTGGATATTCAACAGCTATTTAAAAAAACATACTGTACAGTATTAGGATCAACTGCTGCTGTTATTGTACCTTTTTGGCGATCTCTATGTGATAGTCTCTCTCTACCTCATTCAAAAGTTGATTCTTACAGCTGGAGTACAGCATCCTTTCTTTGATGCTACAGCTATACCCAGGCATGGAGTAGATGAAAACTGGTCCACATATTCAAACACAAACATAGCAAACATTAGCTTTGAAGAACAAATCTCATTACTAATACTGAGAAGCCAACTCGGCATACTGTGATACTAGCAGAATAGTTACAGTAATATTTTGGCACTAACCTACAGCTTCCAGCGCCTGTCCTTGATGGGCGTGTTTGTACAGGAATAAGTGGTATCGTGGGGCATCAGTGGGGATTCTGCTCGGCAGATCTTTGGTCTCTGTAGCACTAGTGTGCACCAGCTCTGTTGTCTCTCGTTCGGTGTCCAGCCGCTTAAAGATGATACAGTAAAAAAGTGCTTTGTTATTGGGCTTATGGCGATTATGTGGAGTGCGCAGCAGGCATAATATTCTATGTGATAATGTAAAATTGTTTAACTCTTATTCAAAATGTTCAGTAGGGTAAGAAATTAATACTTTTATTCAGCAAGGATGACTTTACAATGCTACCCAACAATTCTGTTTCAAATAAATGCTGTTGTTTTTTTTTGTTTTTTTTACTTTATATTCATCAAAGAATCCTAAAAACAATATATCATGGTTTCCACAGGTATTAAGCAGCACAACTTTTTTTTTTTTATTTATAATAAGAAGAAATAGTGAGCAGCAAATCAGCATATTAGAATGATTTCTGAAGAATCATGTGACACTGAAGACTGGAGTAATGGCTGCTTAAAATTATTTTTTTGTCATTACAGGAGTAAATGACATTTTAAAATATATTCGAATACAAACATTTTTAAAATTGCAATAATATTTTACAAGATTACTGTTTTACTGTATTTTTGATCAAATAATTGCAGCCTTGGTGAGTATACCAGACCTTTATTTACCCCCATACTTTTGAACTACAATGTTTGTTTATTGCATAATAAATATTTTGAAGTTAGGTGTTTCGTTGCTTAATTTATTCTGAAATGTAATATTATGTAGAGAATCCTGTTATAAAAATCATGCAAAATAAACAAGCCATATAACAGCACTATCAAAAGCATTTTATTTGTATGTATAATGAAGGTAACTGTTATTATATGTGCTTATTCAGTGCAACCTGTACTGTTAAATATATATGTGACCCTGGACCACAAAACCAGTCATAAGGGTCAATTTATCGAAATTGAGATTTATACATAACCTGAAAGCTAAATAAATAAGCTTTCCATTGATGTATGGTTTGTTAGGATACGACAATATTTGGCCGAGATACAACTATTTGAAAATCTGGAATCTGAAAAAATCAAAATACTGAGAAAATCGCCTTTAAAGTTGTCCAAATGAAGTTCTTAGCAATGCATATTACTAATCAAAAATTAAATTTTAATATATTTACAGTAGGAAATTTACAAAATATCTTCATGGAACATGATCTTTACTTAATATCCTAATGATTTTTGGCATAAAAGAAAAATCTATAATTTTGACCCATACAATGTATTTTTAGCTATTGCTACAAATATAGCCCAGCGACTTAAGACTGGTTTTGTGGTCCAGGGTCACATATGTGGCAGTCTGAACAATTTGCTTTTTGCATGTGTGTATGTGGAACTTACTAGTTGAATGTAATTGATGCGTTTGAGTTTAAGCTGCTGTAAAGCATGTTTAGCCTCTTCTTGCAATGGGAACGCCAAACCCTGCAAAGTCGGATTTTTACTCTCCACGCTGATCTCTGTCTGTATCCGAAACACACATAACAAAAAACAAGGATTATATATATATATATATATATATATATATAAACCTTTAATCTGTTACATTAACATTTATTTAGATAACTGAGGCTACCTTTGCTTGTCCACTTACGGTGGCAACTCGTCTCCTCTCGTCCTGAATAGAAAAGTACAAAAGTTTTGTGAAAATCCCCTTAATACTTACACACTTGAAAACAAAATCAATCGTAGTACACTTACCCGTGCCACTTTGTCCCTCGATTTTGGTATGAAGGTATTTACACATTTTTGACCTTCCTCACCTCTGTTATTTTAATCTGATGGAGCTGTTGCTCAGCAGTGGTGAGAGGAGCCGGACAGGAGGAGGAGGACAGGTGTCGTAGATAACCTTGGAAACAGACATCTTCCTGCAGATAAGAATAGTAAATATTGCTTAGATGACACATCATCACACCTCTAAACATGTGACCTGAAGAAACCTGAGCAAAGTTGAGCGCAGGGCACAAGCAGAACAGAAAACATAGTAGGTTTAATGTTGCAACCCATTTATTATATATATATATATATATATATATATATAGATAGATATATATATATATATAGATATATAGATATATAGATATAGATATATATAAATATAAATATATATAATTAAAAAAAAACACAGAAATTAAAAAGAGATGTGGCCACTAAATAAAGTTACACTCTTGAAGATAAAGATTCCAAAAGTTTTTCAGCGATGTCATAAAAGAACCATTTCTGGTTCTTAAAAGAAACTTTAAAGAAAAAACTTTTTTTTTTCCTAGTGTGAAGAACAGTTATTAATTATTAATAACTTTTTTCCACCATGAAGAATCTTTTGTCCTGTGGAAATTTTCCATGGATGTTAAAGGATGCCAATAAAGAACCTTAAGATTTTTAAGAGTGCAGAAAACAAATGGGCAAAGGTCATTTGTCAGGAAAACACATTCTATTCTGAGTGGTCGGTCGTGATTTCAGGCATCACATAATGTTGAATAATGAGCTCAAATCTGGAATGCTTGATTCTGATTGCTTAGAATATTTCAGAATTTCTGCAACCTGCTTCTCAAAAAATATTATTTTTGTGTTCCTATTTGCTCCAAAAACAAAATACATTTTTTGCCCCAAAACACCCACGCAGCAGGGTCATTTAAATAAAAGAAAGAAAATAAAACAAATGTTAAACAGATAAATGTTAAACGTTTTGTACATTGCTATGCACATATGTATGTAAATACATATACTGTAATAGTACAGTTATAAAATAATTTCAACTCATCTGTATTTGATATTCAAATAAACCCCTGTCTACACACCTGGACTGTTCCAAACAGTTCATCTTTCAGGTGACTTCCTCCAAACTCTTTCTTCAGTGTGGCACGGGTAGCAGCATACACCATCTTTAACCTCACCTGTGTAGTGTGGAATGAATGGGTATGGTCACACAGAGGGGTAACTGACAGTACTTTCAGCCAAAGGGGTTAAAGGGAACATTATTTATAGAGTATGAGGGTGAGAGTTTGTATTGAGCGTACACATTCAACTTTATCATGTGTTTCCTACTTACTGGTGACTGGTCTGGCGACCAGGAGATAAACAGCCACTCATATCCCAGCTGGTTCTGTGAGTCGAGGCGGTAAAGGATATAACAGGGTTCCAGACCGTTCAGCATGGGCAGGACACATGAGTCATAGTCCTGATCCCAGCTCTGAGACATCTCTCTGTACTCTCCCAACACCAGCTGTTCTGAAGCACACACAGACAGATACACACACATACACACCTCATAACACACACCCTGACTACTTGCAGTAGCCCCAGATAAATGCACTGACTATCACTCTGGATCCAAAAACAGCACGGTGCCATGTTATCATACACTAGCACTACATGGATAACATTCCACAGTCCAATTTATCTCAACATTTACTTGAAATTCTTTAGAGCCAACAAGTGACTGAAATATATTTGCTAAAGTATGTAGCCTTACATGGCAAAACATCAAAACAAGTGTAATTTATTTTACAAGATAGCAAAAGCACACTTTTAAGCAAAACATCTATATGTTTGTTAGGTTTTAAATGATAAAACAACATCTAAATGATGAACACCCACGTGAACCTAAGTGGTACCCCTATGATAAAGTACACTTAAATAAAATATACTAAAAAAATAAATAACATTCTTTAATGTGAACTGAATGTACTGTTTTCGGACACTTAATTGCATGTTAACTGCACTTAATGAAATGTATTATAATTTACATTTATATTAAATGCAATTAGTTGAACTTCAGAGTGCCTTTTGAGTAGGACTATGTACATCTTTCCATGTAATTTCACAATCATTTTTTGTATTGTAGGCTACTTTTATTGCACTACAATTTAGTGTATGTAAAATAACACACTACAGGTACATTTTTAATCAAGTAGTCCACTTTACATGTGCTTTACGATGTTAGTCAACACATCAGAATACTGAAAGCATGACAAATTTCAAGAGACTTTCAAGAGATACTTTTAATTTGACATTACATGCACTTTTTTAAAGTGTACCTAAGAGTGTTCCAAAACATGGTCCTAAACGTGTACTCACTTTAAATACACTTAAGTGGCTATTTATTTCATTGGAGATACTTTTAATTTGACATTACATGCACTTTTTTAAAGTGTACCTGAGTGTTCCAAAACATGGTCCTAAACGTGTACTCACTTTAAATACACTTAAGTGGCTATTTATTTCATTAATATTATCATTTTTAAAAACATAATTCTAAGATTTGAATTACACTACAAGTTTACATCGAATACAATCAAGTGCCGCTCTTTTTTGACTCAGAAATGTAATATTTAAGTATGACTTGATCTTCTCAATATGTGATCTTCTAAGTAATAGTTTAGAACTTGGTTTACTCTACAGTAGGTATTATGTTATTACAAATTAATGTGAGGCCTGATTCATTAATTGGAAAGGGTAAACAGCAGTAAACTAATCAAAAGCACCATCAAATTTGTGCTCAAACAAAACCATGCTGTGGGTATTGAAATACTAATATTATACTACATATACAGATAGTCTCACAAACAAATGCTCCTACTCACCGCTCCTTATAACAATCTTCACCACTCTGACAGCGTCCCTCCTCACCTTCACGAGGAACTCCCTCAAGTCGGGAGTTGCTGGTTTCAGTAGAGAAGTATACAACATATGACAATACAACACAGACAGGATACAGTGAGTAAGCCTAAGAATTAGTTTATGCCACAAACCTTTAATCATCATAAGATAGCGAGAGACGACCCCATTACATAGGCCTAGTATTTCATGTTATAAATTATAACAAGACCAAGAAAATTGACTGAAACAAAGGAAATTTTACACTGCTTCCACACTGCGGCCTGTGCCTCATTCTTGGCCTCACCATGGTAACAGGGCATCAGGACTCATAAATGATGTAGGTGTAGGTGAGATGGATGAGGAACAGCGCTTCTGCCCGTAAGCTTAAATTACCTCCCAGCATCATTCACATAAAACACAGCATAATATTATCTCTCTATTTAAAACCTATATAGACCACTATACTGTAGAACCTAAAGTTTGTTTGCTAAAACCCAGAATTAAGCAGAGCTATCAATATTCCTTCTCAAAATTTTTATTTTTAGTAGTAACATTTTCTTTTTAAATAGATAGTTCCCTTTGCCCGTAGTTGAACACATTTGCACATAGACTCCATGCAATTTTGAAAAAGTTCAATGCCAAATTTTGATGCAAAATTTTTAATCTAGAGCTTTTACCGGTTATATTCCAAAGTCCCTTTCTTTTTTTTTACTTTTTGCATATCTTCATAGTATCTATTACACTTCTAACTCAAAATGCATGCTTTTCTTTCACTAAAAGCAGATAAAGAACAAATATAAAGTGATTTATTCTAAATTGAAAATTTTATAAATCTATATGGGCTGCAGTGTAATGGTGCTTACCATGAATACCCGTCTGGTGCGACATCCCAAATCCCCTCAATGGTCCAGCTCAGTCCGAATTCCTGTTGAAACTCCCACGTTGTCCTCCTATTGTCTTCAGTGGCACTGCTATCTGTGCCCAGCAGTGTGGTCCAACACACTTCCGTACAATGACATCAACGCCCCTTAAGCATCTTACCTGGGGAATCCTGTTTGAAACTTGATCTGCGGAACTGAGGAAGATGTGTAGCCTAATATTACACCGGTCAAGGGATGGGTTCCAGCACATCACCTATCTAGTATTATTCGTCCATCACTGGTGGCCCTTATGGGGTATAAAGTGGCTGACAACATCCGATATCTGTGATGAGCTGAATGATGAAGCTCTAGTGTAGAATTAAAGGAAGTACCCGACTGAAAATGAGAGTCTGGACATTATCTGTCTGTCTCTGCTCTTCTACAAACAGTTATGCCACGCTCCATTTGTGAAAAGAAATGGCACATTATCACTCACAAACATCGAGGACCTGATAGGAGCATATAAAGCAGTGGCCTGTGGGAGCTCAAATTCCACCAGGCTGTCATGAGATACCATGCAGGCGGCTGCTGACCCCCAACCAGCAGGACAGGCGGTTCATTTAGACAGCCTAACCAGCTATCAAAAGACTATTTCAAACCGTAAACTCACTCTCTTGACCACACTTGAGATCTTGCATGAGGTTTATGAGATTTGTTTTCAAGGAAATTATTGTGTTTCTAAAAAGTGTTTGAGGGCTTTTTTATTTCATTAGAGCATAGAACAGACACAAAGATTTAAATCTGATATTATGTATCTGTATAAAGACAGAAAGAGAGAGAACATACCGCTAAGTTTTCTAGTGCTGGCTTCATGTTTAATTCACTCAGCTGTGTGCACAAACCCAGCCATTATTCATTATTCACGCGCAGCCCTCCCTTCAAAGATACACACATGCTCTGCACACATAGATTCTCTTTCTTCTTCACACCACACATTTGTTTTTAAATATGTCATATAGTACTACAGACTTGTCCGTATGCATTTCTAGACAATATTTAGGAGGAATGTGCCCTCTTTTTTCTCAGACCCCTTTAAGAAAGCATGAATGATAACAAATGATTTGCTGTTGTTCGTATATACATTTTGTAAGGCTGCAACCCTGTTGATCAAACTATTTACTGACAACTAGGTCCATTTCAAAGTATATCTGAAGTCTTTACTAGAGCTGAAAGTGTATTTAAAACCGGTTCCACGTTTTTATGGCTCTCGTGATGGTTCTTTTTAGTGAGTCAGAAACATACAATGTGCACATAGTCTAATTCTCTAACAAACGACTCTTTTCGTGAATTTCGTGAATCAAAACATTCTGTGAATGAAATATGTGAGCATATTTTTGTTTGTTTTGTATTTTTATATTGAATATATTTATTTCATATCACTCTTTTATTTTTAATTGCACTAAAATGACCTATTTTGGTGACAAGAAATAGCTCAAATAGCTCAAAAGCTAAATTTGTTTGCCGATTGTTTAATATTTTATCTCAGTGACATTCATACATTTTAAGTTCGTCCAAAATACTTCTTGAGGTAGCTCATAGCCTATTTCTGACCAAACTGTCATATTCTGAATAATATTTTAGAATTTGGTCTACTCTACAATAAGTTTTTTTTTAACAAATTGATATGAGGGATGATTCATGAATTGAAAATGAATCAATTAATGAATCAAAAACGTACAGCGTGACCAGTGTAATTCGATTCTCGAACTAATCTATTGGTCTGATTTTGCTAAATGTAATATCATGCTGACCAATGACTTTTATTTTGATCTGGTGTTCATTCTCTGTTCATATATATATATATATATATGTGTCTTATAAATCATACAGAATTAGTTTTTTTTTGAGAAAGTAAAAATGCACAAAGTTTCCTGTAAGGGGTAGGTTTAGGGGTAGGGTTGGTGTAGGGTATAAGTATAGAAGTATATAAGTACAGTATAAAAACCATTACGCCTATGGAATGTAATCCGTGTATCATTCGATCATTCGTTTTTTGATTTAATATTGAAAGTAGAACAATTAGAAAACGGCTCCTTTTTAGTTTTTTTTGTTTTTTTCCAAAAAACGAAAAACGAAAATTCAGCTTAAATTTTCGTTTTTCGTTCATGGGTGGAAAAATGAATAAACAGCTTGAATATTCGATTTCTACATGTGGGCGGGAATTAAACGCCCCTTTCTGCTGATTGGTCAACCGAAGATCAAACCGTACCTTCTTCAGTTCTTCTGCAGTATCATGCAGCAGAATAATAGTCCTCCATAAAGGAGCCTTTTTCTCATTTTTCTACTTTCAATATTAAATCACTGATTGGCTGGAATTATGGCACATTGTAACGCTGGGTTGTGTTGAGCACGCGAGCTGTTGGCATTTAGAGAGCACAGAGGGCGGGCATCAAGGGAGCAAGCTAGTGAAACGTTGCACGCGCAAAAGAGAAGGTCTGCACACATCCAAAAACGTATTTTAAATGCAAAATTGATTTCCGTGCGCTCGAAATACTTTTTTCTTTGCGAAACGAACATTTTCTCCACAAAACTCAGATCGCGCGTGTGCAAAATGCACTTTTGTGCGCTCAAAATATGATCTTTCGCGCGCAGAATTGTGGCAGAATTGTAATCCCATAGATGGGAGGGGGTAGTAATTAGAATCTCTGGATCGAGTTCACAGTAGGTGGCGGTAATGCGCGAAATTGGTGCAATCCGCCAAAAAAAAGGAAGAAGAAGAAGATTATCTGTCGTTCATTTTACTTGCTCAGTCTATCAGCTGCTCTGCTCGTGCTCAGGCACGTTGATAACCCGAATAATTTAAGTAATTTGTGGATTAGTGCGTACTGGAGACGCGAACCGTTTCAAACGATTCAGTTCGATTTGAACTGGTTCGACCGGTTCACTAAGAAGACCCGGTTAAATAGAACGATTCGTTCGCGAACCGGACATCACTGCTTATGTGTTTAATGTCTTCTTGGTTACTCGGCTTTTCCTGTGATACTAGCTTTTTAATCGGACAGTGAGTAATGTAAGATCAGGGGCTCGGATTTGAGGAAAGAGAGTTACCTTTGAACTATTCATCTGTGAAAATGCGATATGCACGTGAGGTGACATTTACGATGCTCGTGAGAGCGTATGCCACAGCTTCAAAGACTGAGACCATCGTTTCTAACGGGAAAGCAGGACTTAAAGCAGCAGATATCGCGAACAGACTCCGGAGTGAAAAGGAAAAACAAACAAATGACAAAAATGAGGTTAGCTACGTTTGTTTATGTATGTATATTGCGTTTTGACTAAAGTGTTTTTATGTGCAACCATTTGGGTTCCGTCTTTTTTCGTTCCTCTCCAAAGGTTCCGGTGTCACCTCTTCAAAACAGAGTAAACGAACTGAAACAGTTCTCTCAGCAACTACAATCTGTTCATCCCAGTGTGCTCGTAAAAGCTCTTTACAGGGGTATCCTTTATCAAGACCAAAACATAATCGCAATAAATAAACCATACGGTGTGCCTCTGCATAGTGAGTATTTGACTTCTCGTTAATCCTCTCATTTTTTGATCATTTGGGTTTATATAGTAAATGCAGCAAAAAACTACAAGTTTCATACCATTCCGTTAAAGTAAAATATGTATTTAAAAAAGTAAATTCTTTTCAGAAGACAACCAGAGGACTAATTTAGTCCATTTAAGTACATGCCTGATAATATGAGTCTTACATGATTGCATAATACAGGTCTTTGGATATACTAACTTATTAATTTCCTTGTTCCATTCTCATAGATGTAGATGGCATCAGAAACAGCATAGTAGAATGTCTGCCTTTGCTAGCAAAGATAACTGATGGCATGCAGACAGGAGCACAGTTGCACCTTTGCCATAGCTTGGAAAAAGAAAACACTGGAGTTTTGATCCTGGCTAAAACAGAGGAAGCCGCTGAACATGTCCAAACACTCATCAGATCACACAAAGTGGAAAGGAAATACTTGTAAGTTAAACTTCAAAACTTTTATTTGTTGCCTGTCTTCAGTTGGATGCAGTTGGTTTTGAAAGGGTCATTTATTTGTGGCATCCCATTAAGTTGTCTAGTGCAACATATTTTTTTGCTTATTGCTAACTGATTCTCTTGTAGCAGCATACAGTAACTTAAACATAATCCCACTTATTTTGTTCAGGGCAGTCACTGTAGGTGTGCCCGTTCCATCCGAGGGAGTGATTGACATTCCCATTATAGAGAAGGAGGTCACGGGACCTCAGCCGCATTTTAAGGTAACATCATAAAAACCATCTCTTATTCTAACCTGTTTTTAAAAACCGTATAAAAAGATTAAAATGCTCACCCTCAGGCCATCCAAGATGTAAATGAGTTTGTTTCTTCATCATTCAACAGATTTGGAGAAATTTATTTATGCATTACATCACTTGCTCACCAGTAGATCCTCTGCAGTGAATGGGTGCCGTCAGAATGAGAGTCCAAACAGCTGATTAAAACATCACAGTAATCCACAAGACTCCCGTCCATCACTTAACATCTTGTAAAGTGAAAAGCTGCATGTTTGTAAGAAAGAAAACCATCATTGAGATGCTTTTAACTTCAAACAAGTCCTTAATCATATTGTTTTCTCCGTTGAAAAAGTTGTCTCATCTGACTCAGGAGAGAAATATGCACAGATCAAACACTATTTACAAGTGAAAACAGTCCAAAACAGCTCTAAAGGACAACAGAGGATGGACTATTTTTTCTGGAGGAAGTGTTATGAGCAGTGTTATGTGACTTTTGACCAGAGGTGTCAGTTTTACGTTAAAACACCTCACAAACACACAGCTTTTCACTTTACATAAGGTTGGGAAGGGAGTAATGTGGATTATTTATGGATTATTGTGATGTTTTTATCAGCCAATTGGACGCTCATTCTGACGGCGCCCATTCACTGCAGAGCATCCATTGGTGAGCATGAATTGTTCACAATAAGATAAGTATAATGCATTTAGAAAACAGATTTTTAAGAATTGGATCTCCTCCAGTTTTCTTACTTTACTAGAATTAAAGTATGTATGTATGTTTATTCTGCTCAGATGGGTCTGAGCCCATTGTTCAAAGTGAGTGAGGAGGGAGATGGAGTGACCAGGGTAAGAGCTCATCGACAGGCACACAGTGCAGTCACACAGTATCGGGTTCTGGACAGCACCAGTGGCTGCAGCTTGGTGGAACTGCAGCCTGTCACAGGTATTGACTGACCATGCCATGTGAAAACCGTACCTGACTCCTAACTGTGCCCTATATTCGCTAACTATTGTAAATGTTGCTAGGTTTACCCATATATAATATAACATCGTGTTTTGATTTATGTAAAAGAAGACATTTAAGCATAAGCACAACCAGAACCAATGTGTGTTTTAGGTGTGAAAAACCAACTTCGCGTGCACATGGCTCTTGCTTTGACCTGCCCCATTCTTGGAGACCACAAATATGCTCACTGGAACAAACTAGCACCACAGGTATAATAAATACAAGTGTTGTAGCATTGGTTCCTTGAAATATGAAAATATGCTGCCATTCAAAATATTTTTTTAATGTTTTCGAAAGAAGTCTCTTATTCTCACCAAGGCTGCATTATTTGATCAAAAAAAAAAAAAAGAATTAACCCAAGATTCAGATACACAACCTATTCAAGTCTAGGTCCAGTTTTACTACAGTATTTGTTTAGTCTATGAACATAGTAAGTGTTGTGTTGATAATGAATAATCAAGAGGTGGTGTAGTGTTTTCTTGAGACATGACGCATTGTCACGTTTGAAGACTGACCACACGCGGGTCTCACATTTCGGATTACAGAAGCTGCCAGAGGGCATACTGCGACGGCTGGGCCTGGTGCAGAGTAAAACACGATACCTCCCTCTTCACCTGCACTCCCGAAGGATCGTCCTGCCAGGGGTCAAAGGTCACAGTGACATCACAGTGTCCTGTCCCCTTCCTAAATACTTCACCAACACCTTAAAGAGACTACAGATCCCACTACCGGGAAAAGAATGAGATGGATCACAGCTAGCAACTCCATTTGAAAAAGTATTACATTTGTATTGAGAGGATGAAGTGGGGTGGATTTGACTTTGACTGTAGAAAAGGTCATGTACAAAGCGGACATTACATTGTGTATTCTGAATGTTTTTTGTCCAGACTTTGTAATAAAAGACCATTGAAAGCGTTTTATGAAGAAAAATGATATCTCTGCTTCACCTGTGAATTACGTAATGACTGTGCAACTTAGGGATCCACAATATACATGTACCATATAATTTATCAGCCAACATTAGATTTTTAAAATAATCATTATTGGTTGATGTTGTACATTTAATTGTGCATACACATTTGCCCTATTTTTACATTTATATCACCATCTTCTAAAACAAATTTTGAATATCCTGTTTTCATACTTTTTATTATAATGTTGAGATGCCTAAATTCACATATAGCATCTAAAGCAGTGGTAATCGCAACAATAAAAGGCTCAATGACCTTTCCAGTTGTCTGTGATTTTCTGCATTAAGGTTAAGGATAAGAATTAAAAAATTTGTTTAACAATTTCTAACCGATAAAAACAGGTCTAGAAATAGTACTTTGAAAAATCTGGCTACAGGGTTTTAGATAGTGGGAATCCAAAACTTTTTGAGGGGACAAATTAAAATAAATATATTTTAGTGATTTAATGCATGTTTTGTCTTTTTAAATTAATCACTTGGAGGTTTGCTGGTTGAGAACCTCCATTTATTTTTTTAATTTAGGGAAAAAAATTAGTATAGCATTTTAATAACATGAAAATTCTCATTGGCTAGAATTTTAATAACAGCATATCCCTTGTGCAAATTCTTTACTAAATAATTGTGTGAATTGTTGCATTCAATTCAATAATGCATGTAATAATAGTTTTGTGAACTACTTATGCAGAAATTTATTCTGTTTCTGTCATGAGGCCCACTTGTGCTTGTGTGACAGAACTGACCAGGGACTGCAAAAAGGGTCAAAGACGACACATACAGGTAATTCACTGTACAAAAAGGCATGTTTGAAAACACAGGCTTCAATTCTCCAGCACCACTATCACATTAATACATATCAGGTTACCATAGATGCATGTATATGTATATATATATAAAAATAAAAACAGAACTAAAGTGTCTTCATGTATAATACACTCCTCAGGTACGTGAACTCTGCTACTGCAAGCTCCAAGGGGTGAGCAGGGGTTGTGTTAAGTGTTAAGGATGGATGAAGCCATGTTTTTAAATGTGTTTACACCTGACCATCACATGGTGTTCCAGTCCACTGCCAATAATCACTTAAGTTTAGTTTGCAGTCTTAAAAACCACCAGATCCTTACAGTTCTGCACTTAAAGAAAATAAACAGAGAGGCCAGTGGGAAGAAGGATGGAGCGTAACATACATGGCAGAAAGAGAAAATGCACACATCAAGGGATCTGGGCAAATACGTTTCAATGGTCTTTAGAGGAACAAACAGAAATAGTTCCTGTATCTAAAACAAAAAAAGGCTTGTATGTATGTCCAGTTCACTGAAAACCCCTCTTGAACCTCTTCGCTCTCCTTTAAATCATGGGTGAAATATAAGGAGACGCTGCAGAGGCTATTTGATTCAGTCTCTTGAGAAAGGAGAGGATGATGGCATGATGAGCGCTGGAGAAAGCCTCTCTTATTCCATCTTGCTTTCTTTTGCTTGCCCTCGTCTTTTCTCAGTGTACGTTGGCCTGCGCGATGGAGATTATCTCCTGGATTTCCCGCACCATCATGATGCGTGTTAGCATGTGCTCCAGCTGCTCGCTCGTGATTGGCTGAGTGGAGTACCAAATAGGGCTGTTGGGAGCCACAACAGGCTCTGGCGTCAGGTAATAGGTGTCATTACGACCCTTTGCAGTCTGAGGGCTGAGGACAGACAAAAAAAATGAGGAAGATACAGAAAATTACGTTACGTTTTATTTATAAACGTAACGTAACGATACGTTTTATTTATAATAACTTTTTTTTTTAAATTGCGCCAGCTATTGCATTAGCATATGAAAATCAGTGGCTCACCATTTGAAGAGGTAAAAGTCATAGAGCTTGATGGGACAACGCAGCGGGTTCTCTGGGTCCTCCGCCTGCTCTGCGTACATGTCATCTGTCACTAGAACAATAATAGATGTGATTTATGACTTCCCACAGTTTTTGACCAATGAACTTATGATTTTCTATAACTCTTCCATTAATTTGTTAATGGCAAAATCACAATTATAGAACAAACACACACACAAAAACGATTTCTGACTATTATTATTCACTGTAGAAGTTTCCATGGCCAGGACTAGAAAACATTTTTTGTTTCACAAATAGTTTGTGATTTAATTGAATGTGCAATTTAGTGTCTCATTTGGTAGAAATATTGTCAAATTTCCAGTATTACATCCGGTTACTCTAGATATAGCTATTGCATTGGCTGAAATCCCAAATTGGTTGATCACTGATAACTGTATAACTTTGGAAATATTTCAACATCAAGCAGCTCAACATTTTTCAACACTGATAATAATTGTTATTACTGAAGGTAATAAAATTAATAATAAATTACTTTTTAATGTACATCAAAAAAGAAAACGGTTATCTTAAATGGATAATAATATTTAAAATTATTGCCATTTTTACTTTTTTTTTCATATAAATGCGGCTTTGGAGAGCATTGGTGAGCAACAATAAAATTATACTGACCCCAGACTTTTGAAAGGTTTATATTTATCTTGTAACATTTGAAAACATCCAGCCTTATTTTGTGGCTGCCTCCTAACCTTTCTGTCCAACATGGTGTGGCCCGACTCCTTTCAGGTAGCGGATGCTGGTGCTCTTGTCTTTAGGGTTGCTGGGATTCTTTTTGGTGTGTCTGAGCACTTTGGAGAAGGCCACTTTCATATGCTGCTCTACTGTGGTCAAGTGGAAGAACCTGTGCAGAGACACAACACTATAACCCCTGAGCACTCACTGCCATCATTTTTGAAGAGAAGGAGGCTCACTTGGTGTTGAAGTACATCAGTGTAGTAAGGAGAGTGGATGGAGAATGAGCTCCCAGCTGCTTACACTCCCACAGCATCTCCTCTGTCACATGACTTGGGATAATGTAGCCTGGCAAATACAAAGGCAATTAACATACATTTTCCAAAACTCAAAAGGACATCATTTAAAAGCACACACAAACATCTTACCAAGAGGGTGAACACTGGGCCTCCACTCTTCAAGAATTTTGTGTAAACACTGACAAAACCGGCTGTAGTACTGATCAGAGAAGATGTCGTCTACTCTGCCGTTCTCAAACACGTACTGTACAAAACAAAAAAGAGAAGGAAATCAGCTTATGCAAACTAATGATCCAACATAATCAGCAGAAACAAAAATATGAAGTAAGACATACTTTCTGTATACATAAAAATACATAGTATAGTGAATCAGGTTCAAATGGCTCCCCCTCCAGCCCACGAGCCTCTTGGGTCATCAAAGACAGAGCCAAGTTCAGCTCGCCCACTGAACTTGACACAAGATCATCCTGGAAGCGCAGGGGCTGTCGACCTGCAGACACAGACATTCATCTTGCTGCAAATAAACATCACTAGATGCTTAACAGTTTTGACCATGCATTATATATGGTTAAGGGACCTTTTAAGACCTAAATAAAATTTAAATTTAAGCAATTTTGCTAAATAAATAAATAAACCATATACACTACTGTTAGAAAGTTTTGGGGTGGGAAGTTTTGTGTTTTTGAAATAAGTCTCCTTTTCTCCCCAAAGGATGCATTTACAGTATTTGATCAAAAAAATGTTAAAACAGCAAAATGTTTAAATATTATTACAACTTAAAAAAACTTCGGTTTTATTATAATTTATTCTTCCTGATTATTAATTTCTTAACCTTTCTTTTAAAAAAACTGACCACAAATATTTGAAAAAAAACAAAAAAAACTTAAGACATGTTTTCTACTTACAGTTTTTAGCTGAATAAATACATGAATTGCATTTTTCGTTTGTACATGTGGCAAACAACATAAGCCTACTCTTTCTATACTATTCAAGATCTTTAAAGAAAGAACTGTATGATTGAACTATTGATAACAATTATATAGTACCAACTACTGACCCAATTCTGTATCCAAGTGCTGATTGGTAGCTGCTTTAATGCTTACATGCTGTGTGCACACGATTACGAAATGCATTAAGGCATTTAATTTCCAGTGATATCGTCGACTTGATTGCACGGATACTATTAAACTGAACTGAGCTGGATGATGACATCACTGAATTCAATGATGAACTGCCTTTAACCCTTTCGCACGTGAGTTTAAAATATTCTAGCTGAGCCCCCAGCGTGAGTTTTTTTTTGGCGACCGTTATTTTAAAATGTATCGCCTTATTGTTTCCATGGCGACGCGTCATGCTTGTCATGTGACACAACGCAGCCACAATAGATCTGTGTGACACATGGATCGCTTTTATTTCGTTTTTCCTGTTTTATTCAAAATATTCACAAACATGCTCACTATATTATGAAATATCTGATATTCCGATTCTGAAATATGTGCAATTAAATCTGTTTGGTAGTTTAAACACTTTTATATCGACCGTGTTAGTTGATCTATACCGGGTGATGGGCGCCGCCATGTTAGTTCGCGCTGAATCCGAGCTGTGGAATTTACAACACGCAAATTCATCCTCTCCTCCCGAAACACGTTAAAGGAGGTCTCCGGTAAACTGGGAGAAGAGCAGAGTAAACTTTATAGTTACCTACACAATCTGTATATGATATCAATAAAAACATGTCGTCAGATTATATTTGTAAGGATCATTATTGCCGCTTCCATAGACATCAGCGTGCATTTTACGAACTGTAAATGTATGGTTTTGCTAGTACTTATGTGTATTTAAATGTCTGAAACCTAAAATAAGTATTATATGGTTGAAAACACTGAATATTTGTGATAATATGACAAGCGCTCGCGCTAACCAGAGCGCGAAAGCAGATTTAAATTCAGCAGTTGATGACGTGACGCACTGAAAGTTCTAATCACACCGGTGTGATCGTACGCTTCAGGGACCAGCCAAGACTGATCACACCGGTGTGATCGTACGCGTCAAAGGGTTAACTGAAAATTAAGTGTTTACCTATTGTCATTTTGCATTATTGACACACTATTTTTCTAATTAATGCTGTACAGTTGCTTTGACACAATCTGTATTGTTAAAAGCGCTATATAAATAAAGGTGACTTGACTTGACTATTGCTTTTGTTTATAGCGACATGTTAAAGTGGATCTATTATGCAAAATTCACTTTTGTATTGTTTTTGAACATAATTATGCGTCAGCAATGCGTGTACACAACCACCCTATTGTGATAAAAAAAGAGCGAGTTTATGTATTTTTGACATAACCTTAAGATGTGAAATAAGACGTGAAATAAGATGTGAAAGGGGACTCCCGCGACATGCCATCTGACAGCCAGCTTTCTGTGCAAGTGAACTTATATGACTTTAAAACGCGTGCAAATAATAAATTTATATGATGTCAAAGAACGTGAACATAATAGATATGATAATCATGACCAAACATATGCTTTGTATTGGCAGAGTATGCAAGGCAGGAGCTGTAAAGGCACAGCCTGTAAATGCAGGGAGCAGCAGCTTATTTGCATTTAAAGATACATACACAAAAAGAGCATGTTTTGCTTCCTGTTAAAAATTGTCTTTTTCAGCATGGAATGATAAATGATCTGTGGGGTATTTTGAGCTAAAACTTCAAAGACGCATCGGACATCTTGGGACATCTGAGACTTTACATCTCGTGAAAGGGGCACAATAGGTCCTCTTTAAAAATTGCATTAAATCACTGCATGTGTTCCAAAGCTGTGGTATCAAATATGGAATAAAGAATCATAAAATGTCACTCATATTGCTATTGCCTACTGAAATTAAAATCTAGTAACAATCCTAAATTCAGCGGCGGTATAAAGACAGAGGTAGCGATGAAAACATTAACTCACGTCCTATCGGTGCCAGCTTATTTTGTTCATTCTTGTCCAGCTCAGCATTTTTGCGCTGAACCCACAGCCTCCACACATCCAGCCCTTCCT